GGTGTTGGTGGTGATGGTTGTGGTAGTGATGGTGGTGGTGATGGAGGTGGTGGTGGTAATGGAGGTAGTGGTGGTGGTGGTGGTGATGGTGGTCATGGTGGTGGTGGTGGTGGTGGTGATGGTTGTGGTGGTCATGGAGGTGATGGTGGTCATGGAGGTGGTGGTGGTGATGCAGGTGGAGGTGGTGGTGGTGATGGTGGTGGAGGTGATGGTGGTCATGGTGGTGGTGGTGGTGATGCAGGTGGAGGTGGTGGTGGTGGTGATGGTTGTGGTGGTCATGGAGGTGATGGTGGTAGTGGTGGTGGTGGTGGTGGTGGTGGTGGTGGTGATGGAGGTGATGGTGGTGGTGGTGGTGGTGATGGAGGTGGAGATGGTGATGGTGGTGATGGTTGTGGTGGTCATGGGGGTGATGGTGGTCATGGAGGTGGTGGTGGTGGTGATGGTGGTGGTGATGGTGGTGATGGTGATGGAGGTGGTGGTGGTGATGGTTTGGTGGTGGTGGAGGTGATGGTGGTCCATGGTGGTGGTGGTGGTGATGCAGGTGGAGATGGTGATGGTGGTGATGGTTGTGGTGGTCATGGAGGTGATGGTGATGGTGGTGGTGGTGGTGGTGATGGAGGTGGTGGTGGTGGTGGTGATGCAGGTGGAGGTGGTGGTGGTGGTGATGGTTGTGGGTAGTCATGGGGGTGATGGTGGTCATGGGGTGGTGGTGGTGAGTGCAGGTGGAGGTGGTGGTGGTGGTGATGGTGGTGGTGGAGGTGATGGTGGTCATGGTGGTGGTGGTGATGATGCAGGTGGAGGTGGTGGTGGTGGTGATGGTTGTGGTGAAATTCCTTGGAGGTGATGGTGGTCCTTGGTGGTGGTGATGTAGGTGGTGATGGTGTGGTGATGGAGGTGGTGGTGGTGGTGGTGGTGGTGGTGATGGTTGTGGTGGTGGTGATGGAGGTGATGGTGGTCATGGTGGTGGGTGGTGGTGGCGGTGGTGATGGAGGTGGAGATGGTGTTGTTTGGTGATGGTTGTGTTGGTCATGGAGGTGATGGTGGTCATGCGGTGCAGTGGTGGTGATGGAAATTGGTGGTGGTGGTGAGTGGTGGTGGTGATGGTGGTGGTGGTGGTGATGGTGATGGAGGTGGTGGTGGTAGTGATGGGTAGTCATGGTGGTCATGGTGGTGGTGGTAAGTGGAGGTGGAGATGGTGATGGTGGTAATGGTTGTGAGGTGGTCTGGAGGTGATGGTGGTCATGGTGGTGGGGGTGTTGATGGTTGTGGTGGTGGTGATGGAGGTGGTGGTGGTTGATGGAGGTGGTGGTGGTGGGTGGTGATGGTGGTGGTGGTGATGGACGTGGTGGTGGTGGTGGTGGTGATGGAGATGGTTATGGAAATGGTGGTGGTGGTGGTGGTGGTGGTGGAGATGGTTATGGAAATGGTAGTGATGGTGGTGGTGGTGGTGGTGGTGATGGTGATGGTGATGGTGGTGGTAGGCACCTTTGATTGAACTGTCCCCAAGGGCCAGCCACTATTAACATATCACCAACTGTATACTTTGTTGATGTTAACTTGTCAACAATCTGCAGCTTCCTCTTACAAATGAGGAAAGCAAGAATCAATGGCATTAGTCAGCTTGCCCAAGGTCACGACGTTAGAAAGTGGCAGAGCTGGGGATTGTCGTGTTTACCAGGATTGAGTTACAGTGAGTCACAAAACCCACGTCATCCCCACAGACATTGATGCACATTCCGCATTTTGCCCCCACAGTGGTACCTTCTGCACAGAAGGCAGTCCAACTACGTATGCTGCAGTCAGGGGGACGCACTAGGGGGTTGGGGGTCAACACCAATGGAAGAGGGAAGGAAGAGGCCCTGATTCTCCCCAGAAGGAAAAAGTAAAAAGTTACCTGAAGCCTTCAATTTCAAGACTGCCCTGGGCCAGTTTTGCCACATGATCAGAGACTTATTTATAGCCATCCGAATCCTGACACGTGCAATTGAAAGGGGAGAATGTTTTTAAAGTCCAGGGTAAGGGAAGCCGCTGGTGGTTTTGAATTACAAATCCATTCCTCTCCTGACCCATGGATTCTGTCCTCCCCTGCCCAGTCACCTTAGGCTCCCCCAGCCCACCCCACACAAAAACAACATCAACAGCTGACAAAAAATCATGTACAATTACAAATACAAAGAAAAGCAGCCCTGGCAGGGGATAAGGCAAGGTTCTTACTGCTTCTGTGACTGTAAGTCTGGATATTTGCTCTGCCCCGTGTTCCTTCTCAGCAAAGCTATAACTTTGAGAGGATTGATGTTTGATTTACACGGAAAGATTGCTTGGCTCTGTCAAGATAAAAGTGTAAGTACCTGCCTTGCCACTGGTTTGTTCTGCTCCTCTGTAAGAAGAGGAACAAGGAACTAGAGGGAAAAAAATTCTTTTTCAACTTTGCAAACCAATCTATTCCTTCTTCCCTTTTGGTAAAGAAATATTTAAGTCGTATGCATTCTTGGAGAGAATTTTCAAAAAACACTCAGCCCACAAGAATTCTGTTCATCCCACAAAATCTGCCTTGGTCCTGCGTGCATTTGCTAACACTGCCTCCTCCACTTTCAGCCCATCAGCATTTTCTTCTTTTGCCTTCAATACCAGTAGGTTAGGACCGCACAGACATCTGCCCCTGTCGGAAACAGCGCTCCACGCCAGTGCTCTTTCCAAACACAAATTCCCATTTGAAGTCCTTGTAAAAGGATTAGAACAAAAAAGGCACATATTGAACTGAACTTTGTTACGTTCTCCAGCCAATTCCCTTTAGCTTTACCTGGATTTCTCTATGATTAGCTGTTTTTTGTTTGTTTTGTTTAACTTATTTATTATGGTTACTGTCTAGTGTTCTTTGGTATTTCTTGCTGAAATTATTAAAACAAACAGCATCCAGTGTTTATTATGACGACTTACTATCTATGTGGCATAGTTTTTGAAAATAAGATTAACTGTGGGACAGGATGTTATCCCTTCCCAAGCAAGCTGGAGTGAAACTGCATCTTTCTGCCCAGAATCTAGGATTCCACTTCCTGTAGGTGACCACTGGGCTGCTGTGATGAGCCCGGAGGCTAGGGCGTCACCTGCAATTCAGATGTAAAACTCGGTGTGAATAACTATCCCAATTCGGAGGAGTAAATGTTTTGTTAGTATGGGTTCATTTCTATTCTTAACCCTACAGCATAATGTCAGGCTTACGCATGGCGTGAAATTCTGGTAAGTCCTACTACATCAAGGAAGGGGATGCTTTTTCTAACAGAGGGCGTGAAACGTGCTGAAGGAATCTTTCCTTTCTCAATCCAGCCAGGAAGGGCAGTTGTCAGGCCTAGTATAGAAACAATATTTTTGGTCTTTACTTCAAATTTGTTTTCTATGACAGTGGATAATTTGGCCCTGGCATGGCAAAGTTGAATTGGGCTACTGGATCTGCAAGTATAGAAACACTCCAAAAAAGTTTTACTGGGCCAGGTGCACTTTGGGAGGCTGAGGCAGGTGGATCACCTGAGGTCAGGAGTTCAAGACCAGCCTGGCCGACATGGCAAAACCCTGTCTCTACTAAAAATACAAAAATTGGCCGGGCATGGTGGCGTGCTCCTATAGTCCCAGCTACTCAGGAGGCTGAGGCAGGATAATCACTTGAACCCAGGGGCGGAGGTTGCAGTGAGCCAAGATCGTGCCACTGCACTGCAGCCTGGGTGACAGAGTAAGACTCCATCCTGGATGAAAAAAAAATCTCTTTTACTATTTTGAGGTATTTAAAATCAGTTGAAATTTCCTTAGTACATGATATCCTTGGGTTTGTTCAGTCCTAGTACTATAGGAGAAATATTTTGGTACCAGATTTTGTTTTAATTTTGTTAAGAAAAATGGGGAATTATTTTCATTGGTAATTTTATTTTTCTTATTTTGCACTTAGGGATTGATATTTTCCTCCAAAGCAAAAATGCAATTCAACTAAAATTATTATTGATTTTTTGAGACAGAATCTTGCTCTGTCACCCAGGCTGGAATGCAGTGGCCCTATCTTGGCTCACTGCAACCTCTGCCTCCCAGGTTCAAACAATTCTCATGCCTCGGCCTCCTGAGTAGCTGGGATTACAGGCATATGCCACCGCAACTAATTTTTATATGTTTAGTAGAAACGGGGTTTCACCATGTTGGCCAGGCTGGTCTTGAACTCCTGGCCTCAAGTGATCCACCTGCCTTGGCCTCCCAAAGTGCTGGGATTATAGGCATGAGCCACTGGGCACCGGGCCAGCTGCAGTTCAGCTAAAATTAAATGCTGGATGGTGGGGGATTCAAATATAAGAAGTTGTCCTTACTCTCAGGGTTCTCAATGATCAGCAGGAGAAACAGGCTCAAAACCACAAACAAGTACCTACAATAGGAAAAAAATATGTGTAATTCAAGCTTAAATTAATATACATTGCAACTCTGACAGTTAATTCGGCCTGGAGAAGAGAAGGCAGCGGAAACTAAAGAGAAGCGAGGCCACAGCAGCAGGCTATTAGTACATCAGGCGGTTTTGCCAAGAGAGCCTCTAATGGAGGAGATTCCAAGTGCAGGGAATAGCGCATGCTCTGACATTGACAATTCTCATCCCGCAACTAGGGTGTCATCTCCAGGGTCACAGTATAGTGGAGGTAGGAAGAGGGAGGGGCCATGAAGAGAATGAGACCAGAAAGAGAAATTCGCAAGGTGTAACAGGTGCTGCCCTCCTTGAGAAGGCAACAGTTGGGTACATTGTTGACAAAATGCCTCTCAGTATGTTTATCGTTTGAATTTATTAAAGCAATGGCTGACCCAGCGCTTTAAGCAAAGGGAAGAGTGATACCTGGTCTTTATACTTGGTGAGAGGTATTTGATGAATACCTGGAGATGCGTACCATTCATTTCATGCTCCTCACCATTGGAATTAAGCATAAAGTTACCCAAGCTTGGCATGGTCCTAAGACAGACATTTTGTTGTTGTTCTTCAGGCTTGTCTGAGACGACAGGAATATAGAAGAGACCCAAATGAGAAGAAACGTGATCAGTTTTGGGGGCAAGAGACAAGTTTTGAGAGATCCCGGTTTTCTAGCAGGTCATCTTCCAAACAGGTATGAAGAATTCTGGGAGACAGTCTCCTGGGGCTGCTGCTGCTGCTGGTGGTGGTGGTGGGGTGTGTGTGTGCGTGCGTGCGTGTGTGCGTGCGTGTGTGTGTGTGATTTAGGAAAAAGCCGACTCAAAAAGGAGATGCTGCAGAATCCCAAAGGTCGGGGCAGGGAGAGCCAGGGGCAGGAAGGAGCCCAGGGCTGGGAACTCCCTTCCTTGGGACACCACCCCTGTGGCTCCCAGCTCTGCAGTCTTCACACCTCACTATGGTTGGGCCTCACTCCTCTTTCCTGTAGATAAAGGTCCTGAAACAGATGGTCTATAAGACACCATCCAGATGAGAAGCGCTGCAACTCTTTAAGATTTCGAGGCACTGGGCCTTCTGAAGCACAGCGTCATCTCTGTGGCATATGGTCTAACTTGATGCAAGGTTGGGCCTAGTTTTTATTTCTGATGAAGGAAGAGAGTAAAATGTGGTAATAACTATATCATGTAATAATTGGAAATTGTTTAAATATTTTTGCCTAGAATGATATAGCAATATGATGATAAAATATTTTTGCCTAGAATGATATAATAATATGATGATAATAACAATATGATAATAATATGATGATTAATAATAGTATCATTGTAATAGTAATTAAGCGGTTATCATTATTTCAGTGCTTGCAACATTCCAGGCACTATGTGAAGCACTTTATACATATTAGCTTATTTAATTCTCATAAATGTATATATCTATCACCTCTCCTTATCAATCTATCTATCTGTCCATCCATCTATCCATCTTTGCCCCACTTTACAGATGAGAAAACTGGGCCTTACAGAAATTGCAAAACTTTACCTAAGATTTCACAGCCAGTGTGTGGTAGAGATTCCATTCTAGGCAGTCTGACCCCAGAGAAGGTGCTCCGAATCGCTAAGCTCTAGGATCGTATTTTCATGTTTAAGATCTTATCTAAGAATTTTACTTATCCTATGTAAGAGCGCAATACCACAAGCTGTATTCAACACTGATTGTTAGCATGGTGAATTGATTTAAGATGAGTAATATGCCTTTTATGAATTCCTATTTAATATTTAATGCCTGAAATATACTCTACAGGAGGGACTCCCGCTCTCCTATCAGTGGTGTGGATTCTGAGATAGATCCTGAATACATGATATCAATCAAGTTCTGGTTGAGAATTCTTTTTTAATCTAAGATGTTCACACTGTGGTTATTTAACGTTCAAAGGACACCTTAAAAACATCAGCGATTGATGTTTATAGATGCAGATGTATCCCTGGGAGAGAGATATGCTCTCTATTAAGGAATATAAAATCACACAATAAAATATTTCACCTAGAGTCTGAAGGTGAAACAGACTCTCTCACAATATTGGCAGCACCAAGAACACGTTGCCTGGATCTTTTCCTGTTAGTCAAAGACTAAATATAATGCCTGCTGCTGATTAAACTTATGGAGTGAGATTAATCCAAAAATTAAATCTAGTTTGGCTAGAACAACACATTTTTAGCATTAAGATAAATTCTCACATTTTTACACTCAGAAATAAGATCAAGGATAGATAAGAAAATATAATTTAAGTCAAACAGTAGCACGTAGCAGTCTTCCCAGATTGGAATTGCTAAACAAGTGGGCAGCTGGGTTCCTCTGCAGGGAACTTTCATGCAGAGGCTCATGTGCATAGTCACGGCCATTTTATGTGCAATACTCATGCATTTGGGATATTCAGGATTTGAAATTTTATGTTCCTTTTCACACTTAAGCTTATGGGACAAGCTGGTGTCAGATTCCTATAGTTTTCTTCTTCCTGCTATACAAATTGTGCATTCTTTAAACCATCATTGCAAAACGCTCAGACTACTTCTGAAAAAGGCCATGGTCGTATACATAAAAGTAATTCTGTGAAATAGCTTCTATAGGACAGTTTATATGGATCTTATTTCCCAATAATTTTATTATTCACCCCTACCCAATACAACATTTTTTAAAATTATACTTTAAGTTCTAGGGTACATGTGCACAACGTGCAGGTTTGTTACATATGTATACATGTGCCATGTTGGTTTGCTGCACCCATTAACTCGTCATGTACATTAGGTATTTCTCCTAATGCTATCCTTCCCCCAGCCCCCCACCAAGTGACATGCCCCGGTGTGTGATGTTCCCCTCCCTGTGTCCATGTGTTCTCCTTGTTCAGTTCCCACCTATGAGTGAGAACATGCAGTGTTTGGTTTTCTGTTCCTGTGTTAGTTTGCTGAGAATGATGGTTTCCAGCTTCATCCATGTCCCTGCAAAGGACATGAACTCATCATTTTTTATGGCTGCATGGTATTCCATGGTGTACATGTGCCACATTTTCTTAATTCAGTCTGTCATTGATGGATATTTGGGTTGGTTCCAAGTCTTTGCTATTGTGAATAGTGCCACAGTAAACATACATGTGCTTGTGTCTTTATAGTAGCATGATTTATGATCCTTTGGGTATATACCCAGTAATGAGATTGCTGGGTCAAATGGTATTTCTAGTTCTAGATCCTTGAGGAATCGCCATACTGTCTTCAGTTCAACTATGGTGGAACTAGTTTACACTCCCGCCAACCATGTAAAAGTCTTCCTATTTCTCCACTTCCTCTCTAGCATCTGTTGTTTCCTGACATTTTAATGATCGCCATTCTAACTGGTGTGAGATGGTATCTCATTGTGTTTTTGATTTGCATTTCTCTGATGACCAGTAGTGATGAGCACTTTTTCATGTGTCTGTTGGCTGCATAGATGTCTTCTTTTGAAAAGTGTCTGTTCATATCCTTTGCCCCCTTTTTGATGGGATTGTTTCTTTTTTTTCTGGTAGATTTGTTTAAGTTCTTTGTAGATTCTGGATATTAGCCCTTTGTCAGATGGGTAAATCGCAAAAATTTTCTCCCATTCTGTAGATTGCCTCTTCACTCTGATGGTAGTTTATTTTGCTGTGCAGAAGCTCTTTAGTTTAATTAGATCCCATTTGTCTATTTTGGCTTTTGTTGCCACTGCTTTTGGTGTTTTAGTCATGAAGTCCTCGCCCATGTCTATGTCCTGAATGGTATTGCCTAGATTTTCTTCTAGGATTTTTATGGTTTTAGGGCTAACATTTAAGTCTTTAATCCATCTTGAATTAATTTTTACATAAGGTGTAAGGAAGGGATTCAGTTTCAGCTTTCTACATATGGCTAGCCAGTTTCCCCAGCACCATTTATTAAACAGGGAATCCTTTCCCCATTTCTTGTTTTTGTCAGGTTTGTCGAAGATTAGATGATTGTAGATGTGTGGTGTTATTTCTGAGGCCTCTTTTCTGTTCCATTGGTCTATATATCTGTTCTGGTATCAGTACCATGCTGTTTTGGTTACTGTAGCCTTGTAGTATTGTTTAAAGTCAGGTAGCGTGATGCCTCCAGCTTTGTTCTTTTGGCTTAGGATTGTCTTGGCAATGCGGGCTCTTTTTTGGTTCCGTATGAACTTTAAAGTAGTTTTTTCCAATTCTGTGAAGAAAATCATTGGTAGCTTGATGGGGATGGCATTGAATCTATAAATTACCTTGGGCAGTATGGCCAATTTTCATGATATTGATTCTTCCTATCTATGAGCATGGAATGTTCTTCCATTTGGTTTTGTCCTCTTTTATTTCGTTTAGCAGTGGTTTATAGTTCTTCTTGAAGAGGTCCTTCACATCCCTTGTAAGTTGGATTCCTAGGTATTTTATTCTCTTTGTAGCAATTGTGAATGGGAGTTCACTCATGATTTGGCTCTCTGTCTGTCTATTATTGGTGTATAGGAATGCTTGTGATTTTTGCACGTCGATTTTGTATCCTGAGACTTTGCTGAAGTTGCTTATCAGCTCGAGGAGATTATGGACTGAGACGATGGGGTTTTCTAAATATACAATCATGTCGTCTGCAAACAGGAACAGTTTGACTTCCTCTTTTCCTAAATGAATACCCTTTATTTCTTTCTCTTGCCTGATTGCCCTAGCCAGAACTTCCAGCACTATGTCAAATAGGAGTGGTGAGAGAGGGCATCCCTGTCTTGTGCCGGTTTTCAAAGGGAATGCTTCCAGTTTTTGCCCATTCAGTATGATATTGGCTGTGGGTTTGTCATAAATAGCTCTTATAATTTTGAGATATGTTCCATCAATACCTGGTTTATTGAGAGTTTTTAGCATGAAGCGCTGTTGAATTTTGTCAAAGGCCTTTTCTGCATCTATTAAGATAATCATGTGGTTTTTGTCATTGGTTCTGTTTATGTGATGGGTTACATTTATTGATTTGCATATGTTGAACAGCCTTGCATCCCACAGATGAAGCCAACTTAATCGTGTTGGATAAGCTTTTTGATGTGCTGCTGGATTCGGTTTGCTAGTATTTTATTGAGGGTTTTCGCATCGATGTTCATCAGGGATATTGGTCTAAAATTCTCTTTTTTTGTTGTGTCTCTACCAGGCTTTGGTATCAGGATGATGTTGGCCTCATAAAATGAGTTAGGGAGGATTCCCTCTTTTTCTGTTGATTGGAATAGTTTCAGAAGGAATGGTACCAGCTCCTCTTTGTACCTCTGCTAGAATTCGGCTGTGAATCTGTCTGGTCCTGGACTTTTTTTGGTTGGTAGCCTATTAATGATTGCCTCAGTTTCAGAACCTGTTATTGGTCTATTCAGGGATTCAACTTCTTCCTGGTTTAGCCTTGGGAGGGTGTATGTGTCCAGGAATTTATCCATTTATCCATTCTTCTAGGTTTTCTAGTTTGTTTGCATAGAGGTGTTTATAGTATTCTCTGACGGTAGTTTGTATTTCTGTGGGATCGGTGGTGATATCCCCTTTATCATTTTTTGTTGTGTCTATTTGGTTCTTCTCTCTTTTCCTCTTTATTAGTCTTGGCAGCAGTCTACCAATTTTGTTGATCTTTTCAAAAAACCAACTCCTGGATTCATTGATTTTTTGAAGGGTTTTTTGTGTCTCTATCTCCT